GAATTTTAAACAGTGTTGCTGCAGGTGGGGATGTTGCCGTAAGACATGCTTCTTGCAAACAGGCCAATATCATCTAGCAGTAAATACTTGTTCACCTTACTCTACCTTATGTACTGTGTCAATGCTATGGTAATTACAGGTTGTGTTTTGATTTTTGCATATTGCTTTGGTGCTAAGTGCCTATTTGAACTTCCTAACCCAGTTAAACAAGGTCAATCCCACAGCAAGCAGTTGTGATATCACACATTTTACACGCTTGAACAAGAAAGTTGTTAAAGCAGTGAAATGAGTGAGTGATTTGTTTTGATTGTACTATCTTAACATTACACAAAATGTGTTCCCATAGAGAAATGTACTGCAAATAAGTGTTATCTAACAGCCTGCTGTTTGAGCAATTATGCTGTTTGAAAGAATAGGCAGTTGTGAGTTGTAGTGGTTCTGTTCAGATACTTTATAGCTCAAATAAATGAGCTAATGTTGTGTGTTTTGTGGTAATATAAACAAAGTCATGATATGGGATAGGTAGAATCATTTTAACACCGTGCAGCCATTGTGGATACATTTAGTACAAACATTACCTGTTAGCTGCTACCCCATTAAAAAAAGCAGCAGTGACGGAGTGGCATTAACCAACTGTGGCATTATTGTGGTGATTTTCAGTCCATGAGGATATTCATCTTGGCTGTCTTATGCACAAAAAAGTGACTGATGGACAAGTCAGATTTAGCTACTGGAGGGCATCCAACCCAAGTGTGAGACAAATTAAAGGGGAACAACAGCCTCTGGACAAGGACAAGGCCAGCTCGTATATTTTCCAAATTAAAATGGCACATTTGGCCTAGATCAGTCACATTTTAATGTCCGTATTTTAGCTTTTGAGCATATAAATTGTAAGTATTTATTTTGAGAGAACAACAGTGACGAAAGACATGTGCAGGACAAGGAGATGAAAGGAAAGGACACAAAAAAAAACACTTTTACAAGGACCACAAGTGAACAGACAATGGGAAAACAATTAGAAATACACAAAGAAGTAAAACCCATGAAAAAAACAAAATGTAATGAAAAGGATGAAAATATAAATGCAATAAAAACAAAAAGTAATTAGCTGAGTTATATGGACTCAAGGACTATTGCGTGATATCTAATCCGATCATAGTGTGGTTGACAGGTTGGTGAATCACATTAATAAAGAAGAGGTCTCTTAATTTTCACCTTTCTTTAAGTTCCCCCAGTAGGTGTGACAGGAAACTGGCAGGACCACTCTCTGGGCGTTACATCTGTTTCCCAGGCAGCAGCTCAACAAAACACGGCCTTGCACACCACCATCACCATTTCACCGCTCAGAATTGTAGGAGTGAGTGAGAGAGCAAGAGAGAAAGAAGGAGAGAGATTGTCAGCTATCTCAGTGAGGCATGCTTTGCTCAAGGCTACGTCTCTCTTTTTCTGCCCTCTTGTCTCCCCTCCTCCTTCCATTGCTCAGCAGCAAGAAGCAAAAAAAAAAAAAAAAGGACAAATAAAAGGTGCGACTGAGTGCTCATCTCACCGAAACTCTCCCAAAAGAACAGCAGCTGTCCAGGCATGAAAATGCAGCAGGTTGAGGAGACACAACAGTACACACGAAAGGGCAGTCTTCACCTCCAAGGAAAGCTGGAGGCTAATACTGTTCTCCATGTGAACTATCAATCAGCAGAATACTATAAAGAAAGTGTAAAGGAATACAGCTTTGTCTCCAGCGGTGAACGAGCAGCGCTTTGCGGTAGGACACTAGGGAGAAGTTAGCACTGACTTTAATTATGGTGTATAATCAACAGTTACAGAATGTAGTTCTTTTAATTACAAGCTGTAAGCAATACAAAAAGACATCAAGTTACTTTAGATTCAACTATTGCTGCTCATGTCTACAGGTCTCTTTTGAGAAATTGAGTTAAGTTGAAAGATGTCTGTGAAGGTTCTCAGTCATCCAGGTCATAGTTATCCGAGAGATGAAGGGCGAAACGTCTTTGAGTATCTTCAAACAAGCCCAGTTGCCCTTGATGTTAACCCTCCTTGAATAGTTTAGTTGAACGTTTTCAGTGAGTACTCCCTTTTTATTTATTTGCTTTAATTTATTGGTTTATTTAAGAGGGACAGTGCACACTAATAAATGTTGCTGTAAAGGGCCAGAGTTAGCCAAGAGGCTATTTTTCATCTGTAGTACCTTTTCTAAAAACCTTCAGTTTAGCTGCTGTTAGATGACTAGTAAAATGTTTTTCTTAAAGGTACCCTGTGGAGTTTTTGCTGTATGGAGCAATTTGTTTTGGCTGGGTCCCTGTTTTGTTTCTCATGCAGGCACACAAATGATGAATGCTTTGAAATGTTTTTGAAAATCATTTTTACAAATGTTTTATGAGGATTTATTTTAAGTGAATTCAACTTGTGTGTTCGGTGCAGAACAATAAATATAAACATAACGTAAATAAATATTAGGGATGGGGAAGAGGAGGGAACAGAATAACGGATGTCCTGAGGATTGTAAGGAAGGGTATGGGGGGAAATAAAGCTAATCAGAATCTGATCCCTCCTTTACTGAACAATGTGTTGTGTCCACATCAGCCTGCTGGCGTGAAAGCGCTGCTCTCCTTAATAGCAGCCGGGCTCTGTACCGTATGAGCGTTAGTTGCATATAAGAGAAAATCTGAGATTTATTTGGTTGCTCTAGTTGGAAAAATACACAGATTTCCTAAGCTTCTATTGCAACAAATCTGTTATCTGTCCTCTCTTATTAGCAAAGAGCAGTGTTAATTTGGATAGGGCTTGTTATTGTAATTATATTAAAGGACTGATCGGGGCAAAAAAAAACAACAACTACAAAAACAAACTTTAAAAGATGTTTTGTAAAAAAAAAATAAAAAGGGGGGGGGGCATGCAGAATGACATGCAACAAAAGTTTTTAATTATTATAATTATTTATTTTTAATTAATGTTTTTAAAGATTAAAACCTAGAAAATATGTTCAATAAAATTTTATATATAAAGCAAAAAATTAGCTCATTGTAATGTGTTTGTAATGTATTTATGTTTTGTGCCATTGATGCAGTGTTTCAGTTTTTCACATGGGTTACATAAATCTCTGGTGTTGGGACTATTTTTCCTTAGTGTGGTCATGGCTTGAATGCTGCCTGCATTTACCAACCACCTCTTTTGTTTTTAATCTCTTTAAATTAACAAAAATAGGCACTTAACTGAATCTTGTATAAATTATAGCTACACACGAACTATGTATTGCGTAAGAAACCAGTATAATCTGCCATCAAGCTGAGAGACTGAAATGAAACGTTTTGATTGCCTCAGCTTCATTTCTGAGTTATTTTCAGTTTGATGTATCGCTAAGCAACAGGGAATAACAAAAAGGGAAAATGGTAATAACTTAATTGAGACACTTGACTCTTTTTTTTTTAATGATGTAGATGTTGAATAACTGTTCCCTCCAGGTGTGTCCTTCAAGCGGCTAGCTAGTGAAACACACAGATGCAAACACAAAGGCTTAATACAGAAGCAATTTTGTCCACCCCCACCTTGTCTGTCATCCTCGCCTTTTAAACTGGGGGCGTTTTTCTTCATTGAGCACATGCTCACACATTCACACACATGCACTCAAAGCATGGAAACACTGCTCAGCCTAAAGGCTTTGTGGTTGCCTAGCTGCCCACCTACTCACCTGTACCCACCCATCTTCACCTGTTAAGATGCTTAATACTAAAATAGACCTAAAAGTAATTGCATTATTATCGGGTGCTGCACATGCAATCTCAAGTGGCTGTTGATACTTTTGGATTTGGAAGTGTCAGTCTGTCATGGTGCCCACTCACTTGGGATACACTTGCAAAATCTAGTTGTGTGGTTAAGTTCCCCGCCTCTGGAACAACACTGGGCCAAAGATCCTGCCCGTGCTTGATCTGCTGTCTTCCATCTTTTGTCTCCATCTCAACTTTCCAACTTACCGTTGTGATATTTGGGCCTCGTTGCCCAACTAACCAAATAAACTAAAACTGAAACTAAGACAGCTCAAAATTTAATAACATCTGATCTGTAAGATCCACATTCCCATTAAAACACCCACATATAAACACTAAGAGCTGAAATCTACGTAAGCATCTTTATTCAACACCCCTTTTCCATGCTTACCATCGCACGAGGGTGGAGGCCTTGGGGGTGACAGTTGTTAACGATAACAGGGTTATTGGTTGCATTTGAAGCAGTACATTTTACATCCACTCAAAGTTAGGACATTAACAAATAAATCAGACAATGCAAAAACAAATTATTGATATTCCCAAAGTTATGGTCTTGACTGGTCTTCAAATAAAGTCTTCAATGTCCGAGACCGAGACAAGACCGAGTACAAATGTGGTCAGGTCCGAGACGAGACCAAGACCGGTCTCGAGTACTACAACACTAGCAGTTCTTAATGGCTACCCTCAAAGGCGAAGTAAAAAACCTGCCATCATAGAAAGGGGTGAGACACTTTGGACAGTCTCCTCAAAGGCATTCATGGTGTTGCACTTACACAATCCGTAACAGTGGTTGTCTGCAGCCTTGCTAGCAGCTCTGTAAGACTGCACAATGGTGCTTTGAGCTACATGCTAACATGCTGATTATGCTGATAGCAGGTATAATGTTACCATGTTCACCATCTTAGTTAAAAGTGTTAGCATGCTTAAGGCTGATAGGAATGTCATTAGTGTTGCAGGTATTTGGACATAAACCAAAGTATTGGACAAACTGTTGGCACTGGATGAAAAGTTAAGGGTCATGTGTAATACATGAATTTCTGCACCAAATTTTATGCCAATACATCCAACAGTTGTTTTACTCAGAACTGCAAATGTCAGCATCATGGTGGCGCTAGACAAAAAGTATTGTATTGTTTAATTAATCGCTTTTTTTATGTTGTTTATTTCTTAACATTTTAACCCCTGCCTTCTTTCTCTCCCCTCTGTGTTCATCTCCTTCCTCAGCTATTGGAGTATGTTGGCAAAGGAAAGAGCATCATGGACGTGGGTTTGGCACAGGCCCGCCAGCCGCTCACCACCCGCTGCCACTACTATGAATTGGAGATCGTTGATTCAGGGGAAAAGTGCTACATTGCTCTGGGCTTGGCAAGAAGGGTGAGCTTTCTAGGAAAAGAACAAATTTTGACAATTTAACACACACACACACACCTACACTTCTGGCCTCTTCCTCAATTTTTCCACATTAATTTATTAGGCAGTACCGTTCAAAGAACTCAAGGGATGTAGGCTGCATTACTAAGCCTCCTATTGGCTGACTCTTATTCTGCTTTCTTATGCTCTCCCCCTCTGGTTCCCATAGTTCAACAAGTCGTTAAGCTAACATGCTAGTGATGGAAAACTAAGACAAAAACCTGAATTGGGAATAAGGTATTTAGCATGTGCAAAATATTCCTCTGGCCCTGTCTTGTGAATGTTGTAAACTTGTCCAAATGAAAGAGCAGCAGCACTCTTGTAATTTTAAAGGTAGGATTCCCAACATACATGTAAATCTAAAATGTATGGAGAAAATATGAATGGCTAAATCAATTTTTAGAGGACGAAGACTTGAAATAGACTGGACTAGTAGTTAACAATTATCAGCTTAATTTTCTTGCCCGTTATCCAGCAGCTTAGCTGTTCTCTTTGGAACTAATGGCCTACTTTGGGTAGTTGAAACACCTCCAAGAGGAAAATACAATTAGATAAATTTTACCTCTCATTTGAGCCTTTATTTCTTTTTCCAAAGAATGCACATGCGGTTCCAATTTCTGTATTAGCACTGCAACTCTGCAAGTGACAATTACTATGGTGAACTCATTTGAAGAATAAAACAGACAAACCTATAGATTTTTGGACATTGAGTGATACCGCTGCACATTAAGAGATGCAGAGAGTGAATAGAACAAGGGAATACACAGCTGCAAGGATGCAAAGTATTAGCAGTAATAGTTTATTATCTTGCAGCCGTTACCCTTGAATCTTCCTTACTAAACTTATAAAGGACATTGAAATCTAATAAATGTATGCTTTCTGATAGATGGATTCTCTCACAAAACCTATTTGAATTACATTTTTACCAAATTATTCTTCTGATCCAGGAACTGTTTCTTCGACAGTATGGGTTCATGTTCATTCTTTACACTGTGTAAGTAGCCTGTAGCCTGGAAAGTGTTAATGAATGTGGAATATTAGGGACTGCCAAAGCCAAGGTCTGTGGAGAGCTGCCAGCACTATCTCTCCCAGGGTCAAAACGCTGCTCCTTTTAATAACAAAAATAACATATTTCAAGGTCTCAGAGGCAATTTATATAAAACAGGAACAGAGGGATGCACAAACAACAGCGCTTTAGATGCATACACAGAGGGGAGGCTGAGTAGGAGACATACTTGCACAGTAACCAAACCACATTTTGGAATATTAAAAATAATTAAAATCTGAACCTTTTTTGGGGACAGTCTCGTTAGGTTTGTTGGCTTCCACCAGACATTGAAACAGTAAAAAACACAACAGTGAATCAAGTAGTAATAGTTATTGGTAATATTATCTTCTTCATAGATGTGTTGCCGGCCAAACCATCCCCCAGGTGAAAACCCGTGTTCCCCTTGTTTCACCCTTAAAGTAGAACTTTCTGTGTAAGGAAAAATGAACTATAATGCTGCAGCTTTTTTGCATATTTTTAAAAAGATTTTCACAGGAGGATAAAACAGTTTTTGGACGTATTTGTGGAAACAGCTTTTAAACTTCAGGCCTCTGATTGTTACCTTTGGTAGAAGTTGACTGACATCTGAGAGATGTCAATTTCTGTGGTGCACTACTGACTGGTCTTACTGTACATGCTACGAACGTCGATAAATTATTTTTCCTTTCTCAACAAACCCACATAGCGTTTGTTATGTACTGTTTGCATTTGAAAACATCTGGCCCTTTGTAACATTCAACATTTGGGAGACGCTTTGTGCTGTTGTGTTTGTATTCATGTGTAAAGTGGAAGCTAGGCAGAAAGGACAACTAAGTTGATGCTAGTTAGCCTAGCATGCTAAGGTTAACGTTGATTCCCACTAGATACTAGGGGTCTAGCTAGCATTAGCTGTCTGTCCTACATGGGTCCATTTGTGGCGACAGCAAATGAATAGACTGTTGAAACTCACAGCAATGGGTCAACCTTCGTCGTGGGTCAACCTTCGACGTCAGTCCTCCGTACATTACTCTGTGATTCAAATCATGACACCGAGAATCTAATGTCCTGAGTCACATAGAGAGTGCTCACAGATGGAATAAGCAATGGCTAACGACACCCATGTGGCCATTGAAACTGGTGAAATCGAGAGCGGTTACTTTTTTTTGTTTGTTTTTTTACACGCCAACACAGATATTGCACCAATTTTATTACAGTACCAACACTGACAGTCAGATTCGTGCCCCCTGGAGAACACTAATGTTGTGTCTGTTGTCTCTGCAGGAAAACTTGGCTTGGTGTTGCTATGAGTACACAATTCACAACAACAACACTGTTACTGATTTCTTAGCAAAAATGTATTTTACATTTATATATTTTTATTTAAAATTTATTTTTTATTTTATCAGTTTGACTTTAAAACCTAAATCACATTGTACTCCGAATCTACATGTATTTAAGTAATTATTTTCCGTGGATTTAGAGAAAAGAAAGCTAGAATATCATCTGATGGAGCTAAAAAAGTACACGTGCACAAACACATGCTCTCAGTTTAACACACACAGACGATGCTCCCTTGGGTGAGGAAGAAGTTGAGTGGTGATAACTCCAGTCCCATTACCTCCTCAGAGTTCTCCTCTCCTTTCTTTTTGCTCCACTACTTTTCTGTCTGCATCTGGGTTTCATTATAAAGACATTAAGCTTAAGTCCAGGAGAGGTGATAAAGCAGCAAATTGAAGGGCTTGGGTAATGACTGTTTACTCAACAGCTGTTGCAAGTTTGCATGCTGGTCTTTTGCACATAGCATCCCATTGTAAGAAAGTAAGCCTGAATATAAACACAAATGCACTCATTAATACCCGACAGACTGCCAGGTTCTACCCGTCTGTCTCTCTCTTTCTGTTTGTTGTGGTTGCTGATTCCAGATTCAACTTTGCACTCAGTTTTCTTCACTATAAAAATCTCTTTCTGCCCCTGTGCCAACTTGCTCTCTCTTTCGTTTTGTCCCTAGCATCTGCAGTAGCCGGTCAAAATTAACAGATTTCAATTTGCAGCAGGGGTTGTTTGATGAAATTATTGGTTGGTCACCACCTTCTTTTTTTTATTTCTATTTGTCTAGGCACTTCGTTTATGGCGAAAGACCTGCAAAACTAAATGGCATTCCTATCAGTCTCAGTTGCACTCTGTGTTTAGTGCTAATTTTAGCATGCTAACAGTAAGATGGTGTACACAGTAAACTTTATACCTGCTAAACATCAGCAAGTTGACATTGTCATTGCTAGAATGTTAGCATGGTGACATTTAGCCATAAAGGACTCACAGACCAGACCTTAAAAGCACTCACATTTGCTACGTTTACGCCTGCCGTCCACACTAAAACGGCAAATCCGAACACTTTTATTTTACACTCTGGGGTAGCGTATTAGTACTGACAGGTGAAAACTTTGAAACGATGAGGCAAACACTCACATTTGGCTTCCTGATTGGGTCCTACAAGTCATGGTGTATCCTTCCATGATTCGTCAGGCTCCTATGCCATGACCCCGCTCCAGAAGAAAACATACAACAGCAGCCTGAACTACCAGTAGTAGTCGTAGTAGTAATTCAACATGGATAACAAATAACAAGCGTTACTGACCTTGATGTCTTTGCTAGCAGCATCGTCGAATCTTCTGCAACTGCGGACAATCTGCTTCCTGTTTACACCGGTATCCCACATGCCACCAGTACGTGAATTGTCACGTGACGTGTGTCTCCAGTCCTTTTACAGATGGAGATTGGTTCTGATACGCAGCTAAAGCGCTGGTAGCTAGGAGATCGTAGTAATGTGGATGCAGCCTTAGCCTTAATTGCATGACCAAACATTTTCCCATTTTGAAGCACATTGTTTTAATTCTGGTCAAACTCTCAATGCAAAGATGCCATATAAAGTGAAAGTCTAGGTTCAGCAAGTTAAAATAAAATTGATAGCTGTTTTAAGAAAAGTGGAAGTAAATTCTTTAATCCCCTAAGCCACTGTTGCAAGTTTCCTGTCTAACAAGGAAGTTGAAGGAATTTGTGTTATGTGATAAGTTTGAATGCTTTATACGCAAGGTAAATGTGTTGTTTTGTTGTGTTGTTTTGTCTAAGATCTGTTTTGACCCCACTGCCATTCCTAGACCTGTCATGACCTCTCGCTTTCTCTCTCATTCCTCTGAAGATAAGAGTCTCCATGAATGTACAGCATGCATATGCTTGGTAGCACGGTTGTTTTTCATCCGGTACACACCGGTTGCTAGGCTGTGGGACAAAGAGAGATCTAGGCTTAGTTATGGGGTGGAAGAGTGTAGCTGGTAGATGGGAGTGTGGGGGGTTGAGGAGGTGGGGTAGCAAGGTAGAACGTTGGGAGGTAGAAATATCAAGGGAAGCTATTCAGAATATGAAAAACACAGGAAAAAAAGCAGGAAAACCCTCATGTCCTGAAAAACAAACAAACCCCTAAAATCCTACAAAAAAGAAAAAGAGCATAACCCTGTGGGAGGATAGGGAAGTGAAGAAGCAAGTGGGGGGTATATAAACATGGATGGATATGTGTCATAGTCGTGACGGAGGACTAAAAGTGGTTCAGCAGCGATCCGTGTCTGAATAAAAGTGATTTCGGAGTTCAAGTCTCTCTGATGACCATATTGACTTACTCACTGGACATGTACATAAACACAGGTTTGTGTGTGTGTGGCTTTATGACTAACAGTATGCACTCTAACACACAAACAAGAAATAAAACTGCTCAGGAGGCTGGAATGGCAGTGTTTCCTCTGTCCTGGTATGCCCTGGGACCAGTTCTTGGGAACAGCTCTTATCCCCTTCCTTCCGTAACGCTGTAGTCCTACTAACCATTTTTCAGTGCAGCTCCTGTTGACCTGTTTATTCTAACGGGGTCAATTTAGGACAAAACAAAGGA